CAGCCCTCATTACATGCAACCATGGCCTTCCCAAATTAGCATTGTAAGGGGAGGGAGTGTCGATTATAGTGAACTCTATTTTTATCTTCCTGGTGCCAGCCTGCACCTCCAAGCTTGCTGCTTCCAGTGGCCATGTCGGCTGAACCCGACCATTGGGCCATTGGATTGCTCCATATCGTCTGGGTGAAGGCCAAGCTCCTTGTAACATCTGACATACATGATGTCACAGGAGCTGCCTTGGTCAATCAGGATGTGCTTCACTTGGTACTCCCTAACCTAGAGGGATACTACCAAGGCATCATTGTGTGGATGTTGTACTATCTCAAGGTCGGATTCAGTAAAGGACACTACTGGTCCCTGGCCCTCCGCGGCCCGATGTCGTTTCTCCCTGACTTGGTACACGTACTGCAAGTGCTATACCTTCTGGGTCTCCCCCCATATTTCGTTTTCGTTAACCTTCGAGTGAATTACATTAATTACCTGAGGTCCTCCTACCTGAGGTTGTTGTGTTGACAGGGGTGGAGCTGCTGGTGCTTGAGGCAATCTTGCCTTCTCTTCCCTTGTTCTGGCCTCATCTATAAGGTCCCTCAAGTGGCCTTGCCTCACCAGGTCTTCTAGGTGTGTCTTCAGGGCTCTGCAACCCTGAGTCAGGTGCCCATCCTCATTGTGGTAAGCACAATGCTTACCAAGGCTTCTTCCCATGAATTCTCCTGGCACCCTAACTGGCACTCCGAAATAGGGCTGGGATCAGATTTTATCCAAGACCTTGTGAATTGGGATTCGGAACACAGTTGTGACTGCCTGTGTAGCCCTCAGTCCTATTTCTTGCTTGTTGGATCCGTTGTTACCTCGGCCTCGCTTCGGCGAGCCATTTCCTTTCTCTTGCTTTGTCTCTTTTGTTCCCGATGTGTCTTCCTTGGCTCTGGCATACTTCTCAATTCTGGCCATGAGCTCTTCCATGCTTTTTGGCAATGTCTTTGCCAAAGACTTTCGTAGTGGACAGTCATCTTTCAGGCCGTTCTTGAAAGATACGACCGCCACCACTTGGTTGCACTCGGGTATTCGGTTGAACACCTTATAGTAACTTTTTGCGTAGGCCCTAAGGCCTTCATGCTTGCTGATTCTCAGAGCCATCAAAGCATCTACCCTTAATGGCTGTAGTTTGTTTGTCACGAACCTGGCCACAAACATCTCAGCCAGGCCTTCCTAGGTCTTCACACTTCCCTTTGGCAATTTGTGAAACCAATCTGATGCAATCTCCCCGAAGGATGAGAGGAACACCATACAGAGCAACGGCTCGTTCCCAGTGTATAGTGCCATCGAGTTCAAGTATAATCCGACGTGAAAGTTGAGGTCCGACTTTTCGTCGTATATTTGGAACCTCAGCATACTGAATCTTTTTGGGGCCTCAAATTTGTCCAACTCCGCCGAGAATGGTGTTTTCGGCTTAACATGGGAGGTTACCTCGGCATCTTGTTACTTCCTCTTGAGGTAATCTCTCAAGTCCTCCTCTGTCCGCCCAGGAGCTCGGCTATCTCCTGATTTCAACCTTTTTGGTGCACTACTTTCGGTTTCGTTGTGAGCCCTCTTCGACCTTTTTCCATTAGTTGTGTCAAAGCACAGCGCCTGCCTTTGAACAGGCCGATGTTCTTTGGGGTCTGCCTCCTTGGTGTGATGTGTCCTTCGAGATTCTTCCCTCATCGACTCTCCTCGCCCGACCTCCCTTGAAGGCCGGTGAGAGTGTCTTTCACTCCTGGTGTGTAGGGGGGCTATAGGGATTGTTTTCTGCCCTCCCTTCTGGGCATTGACCGCTGGAATCGGCATGTCCTGCAGTAGGAACGGTGGCTGCATGACGTTGTTTTGCATCATAAAACTGACGATTGATTGCAGGTCTGTCAATTTGTTCGCCATCACTTTCACTTCTTCATCCCTCCGCAGGCATCTATCCTTCCATACCTGGAGGTCGTCCTCGTCGTAGTACCCACTTCGATCTGGTTTCTTTGGCACGTCGCCATCCTGGCCGACGTCTTTCTTTCCGTGATTCTGGTTCTGAGTCTCCTCGTTGCAACCATCTTCCTCCATATTAGGATCAACGTGTTTACCGTTCCCAGCAGGGGTTTCATCCCTAACCTTATCCTTCTGTTCGTCACTGGCCATCTATTCTCCTTTCTTTCCCACAGACGGCGCCAAATCGTGTGAGTCGATTTCTGACCACACTGCCAACTCAGTATTCAGCTGGAGAACACTAGCAGAATAGATGGCACCGGATTGACCTCCAACAGAAATAAGAGATTCTGGCAGTGGTTCGTCCACTTGGAGGCACTCCGACGATCAAGTCAATTATCTCTCAAAGATAAATCAAGTGCTAACTCACTGTTCAGAATATAAATTGCGTACCTTAGAGCTATGGGGGTGCCTCTATTTTATAGTTAACTCATTCTTAGTCCCAATAGAAACCTAGCTTTAATGGACTTCTGCTCAGTGCTTATCCTAGACTCTCCAATAGATAAAGATAAACTCCCTAAGAGTTTTATCCTTATCCAGACTGAAGTCCTTCCTCAATCTAGGACTCTTGTCCCTTATCCGCTTATCCCGGATTCTGATAACTTTGGAGATAACCTCGGCTTAGCTGAGATGATCTCGGCGTTAAGACCACGACATGTGATACCTCGGCTGACACGTCGGCGTCACCTTGACCATGTGTTGGTCCTTAGAAAATATATCCCCACATAAGCCATATATATCCGGTAATTAACTCTCAAGAAATGTCACATTATTAGCATTTAGCAATTTGTTGGTCTCAGGTTAATTATTTTCCCTCTCCTAATCAAAAAGTTGTTGGCTCAAATCAGCAAATGATGTGTTGGCCTAAACCGGTCCACACGTAATAAATAAATAAATAATCTCAATCAACTTTTGTTTCTTACTTTAGCTGTTAATATGTCATTCTCAATCAAAGAAAACAATTAAGTAAACTGTGAGATAAAAGGTTAATGACTTTAATTATTAAATTTATGTAATGGATTTTGGTGGGTAAGCACTCCGCCACTATATAACTATAGAATATTATATTATGCTATGATTATAAATAAGGGCCTGGCTTTGATCCAGTCCATCATCGGATTGGACAGTATTGTTGGGTTTGTAGGGGCTCACCACGGGTCTTATTTTGAAAATCTGAACCATCCAATGTGTAGAACTCGTCAAGTATTATATGCTTGTGAAAAATCATGTTGATCGGATATTGATAGTTATGTGATCAAAACAGTTTTTTATCAATCGTTAATTTATTCACCGTCTATTTTTTTTATACAAAACTAATTTGATCACATAGCTATCGATATCCGATCAACGTGATTTTTCACAACCATATAGTACTCGACGAATTCTACACATTAACGGTTCAAATTTTCAAAACAGAACCCGTGATGAACCCCCACAGACCCAACAGTATGATCTAATCCGACGACAGACTAGACCAAAGCCAGACCCCATAAATAATGTTAAAAACATTTTTATTCGGACCGCTTTGGAAAGCACGAGCTCTCACCGCTTACACACTACCACTAAATTATTCTTATTATTTATTTCTTATATATGTTTTAAAATAGCAAACTACTACTTTAAATGTGTTCTCATGTAACTGCGAAAAGCACTTGTTATAGTAACCATTTACCTTGTGCTCTGGTGTTCAACAAAAAAAGGTCTTAATGAAGCGACATGGTAGTAATTTTCAGATTGAACAAAATTCACCTTGGTACTTGAAGAAGTACGGGAGATACCTTCTATATTATACAATATGGGATCTGAATCTTCTAATGTTTTAAAATAGCAAACTACTACTTTAAATGTGTTCTCATGTAACTGCGAAAAGCACTTGTTATAGTAACCATTTACCTTGTGCTCTGGTGTTCAACAAAAAAAGGTCTTAATGAAGCGACATGGTAGTAATTTTCAGATTGAACAAAATTCACCTCGGTACTTGAAGAAGTACGGGAGATACCTTCTATATCAGCAATGCTAGGTATCATGAAAAACCTTTCATGAAAATAATCATGAAAGTTTTGTGACTCTTGGATTACACTTAGAATAAAGTACCACACACTAATCAAGGTAATCCAACGATCATAAATTTTTCATGATCATTTTCATGACAAAATTTTCATGATCCCTAACATTTTTCCTTCTATATTATAGAATATGGGATCTGAATCTTCTAAAGTTAGGTTACTGTACACACAATTAATAGTGATTTTTGAATCTTTTATGTTATATTAATAGTGTTTTTTTATATGTAGATAAGGTATTTGCATGCACCTTCCACTATTATGACGGGTGGAAAGTAGTAGATTATGGATAATATTTGTTGGGTGTTTGGAGACACTAGGAGGCATATATATTTATGATTGGTGGAACGATAATATCACTTAGTATCCTATTAGTATACAAAAAATTTTTGTGAAGACATATGGTTCAAGTAATGGCTCAAGTCCATCTTTAAGGAGGAATTTTGCAATTGGTTACACCCTCCTACCCTTTTTATCGAGAAAGAATAAAAAAAAAATGTGGACACCCATGTATTCCCTCTCTTAAAATTTTAAGATTACCATGTCCACAATTAAATGAATAATGTTAACTAATCAAAAGTTTACCATATAACTTATTATACATTAATACAACAGGAATGAGGTTCTGATTCATTATTTATGTCCATAGTTGACCAATATTAGCATTAGGCTGTTGGTCACCCAAAATATATACATATATTAATTAGGCCAGGTTTTTTGTTTAATTATTTGTAATCTCGAATATGAAATTGTTTAATTAGCTAGCTATTTCAGTGGAATTATTCCTTTACTATCCTAAACCTCCATTAGAGGCACAAAAGCTCTGTATGCTCAGTATTTTTATCATCCTTAATCTCTGTGTATCCGTTTTATCAGCAAATTTGATGAAATAAGAGTTCTTGGGCACAACCTTTTATCTCTGTTTGGTTTGTATGCATAAAGAGAGATACAAATTTCATAGAACACAATCTTCATCTAACTATTGGAACACAGACTTGTATAGTACACATTACATGGATTATATAGCATACAAACACGGACACAGACAGAGACACAGACACTGACTATAATTATATATGCACAAGGTCGATTTGCAAGCAAAACTGAACACTGCAAATTCAAACCCCATGCTATACAAGTTAGAGTTGCTTCCTTATCCATACTACCTATATTACACCTATGAACAAATTTGAATAAATGAGAATATGATTAGCCGGTTAGATCTGAGCTCGCTTGCTCATAACATCCAAAAATTTGATCGCTTATAGCGGGGAACAACTTACTCTCCTCTTCCTCCATCATCCATGCCAAGTCAGGAGCGTAGTTCCAGACTGGAGAAGTCATTGTTTGGCCGAAGAAATTGCAACCCTCTTCGCCATAGCCATCATGATATGATTTTATTGTTTCATTTTCAGACATAGCGATATCTTTCCATATGTCATCCATGGAGTACTCTTCCTGATCCTTCTTTCCCTTTGGAACCGACATCTCAAGGCCGCCAGTATCAAAAAAGCTTATTTCCTTGGTTTCTGCGACAGTCACCATGGAATCCATTGGAGGATTGTTTGACAACGAAGCAGAAGAACTTTTAGAAGTTGATATTGAAGATGGAGCAAACACCACACCACCGGTGTCATAAAAGCTTCGTTCCTTGGTCTCAACCACCGGCGTAGAGTCCACAGGAGCATTGCTTGACGCTGAAGAACAGTTGGAAACAGAGGATATTGGAGACGTGGCTCGTTTCCTCTCTTGCGCTTTCTTCCTCATGTGAGTCCTCCAGTAGTTCTTGATCTCGTTGTCAGTTCGCCCAGGTAACTTGCGGGCAATCCTTGACCATCTGCATGCAATTATAATATTAATCATAGCAAAAGGCCTAATTTAGCAGAAGTCTCGTGTATTAGATCATCATTTTTTTAATAATTCTTATGTCTATGCATATAAACATAAAAAGGGGATATGCATGAATTGAACTGTAATCATAGTGACTTGTTTGTTATGCATATATAGAAATTTTCAAACCTATTTCCCCATTTGTTGTGAAGTTCAAGCACAAGCCGCTCCTCGTGGGGGGTCATCTTACAGCGTTTGAGGCCAGGGTGGAGGTAATTAACCCAACGCAATCGACAACTCTTTCCTGTCCTTTTCAACCCTACAACATAATCATGTGGTTAAACATAGAGCTCCATGGAAAAACCATGACATGCCCAGATAAACGTACCGTATATTTGTCTCCCGCCACCTTCAAACCTGAAACTTTGGCTATGAAGTCCCATTTGCGATCGCCAAACAAATTCACATAGAAAACCAGCTGAACATCTTCATGTTCAGTCCATGGACCCTTCCTGATTTCCTCTTGCACCATTTTTTCTTTTTCTGTTTCTTTCTTTCCTTAGCGAAGTGACTCCACCGATTAGTTGTTGTTGTTGTATATGGAAACTTAGGGGGGTGCATAATAATTGGTATTTATACGAGTCATTTTGCATAGTAGTGAAACAATGTGATAATGTTTTGTATTATTTTGAAATGATGATTTTGAATCTGGGCCGTCCATCTGGCGCGCGCATACTCCCCTGTGATAGGTACCTTGTGGATCTGATGTAAGCCATTATCACTCTTATGAAATCTAGATAAGTTGATGTAACTTTCATGTATGTGTAATAGTAGTATAATAATTAAAATTTGCCAAAGTCTCCTGTTAAAAAGAGTTCTTGCGCTCCACCTCTCATTCTATTCTCTGTGTGTGCGCGCGCGCGCATTTGTTTTCTATGCACTCATAAAGTGAAGCACTTGGAAATTAAATTAAAGCAACAACATAGAAAGACAACCTCTGACTACTAATAGCATGTCAAAGACTAATTTTGTTGGAAATGGTAGAAAAATTTTGGATAAAATTAGAATTTTTTCTCAAGTTTGGTCTATTTTTTAAGTGGGCCCCTGTATCGATTTACATGGGTCAAAGTGGTAACGCGTTCTATGCCGCGTTGTGATTCACGTGGTATATTTGGTTGCTCAAAACCATTACCGAGTGAATGGGAAATTGAAGCCAATGTATGCTCCATGGAAATGGAGTTTTGGTGAAAAATAAGGTTTGAATAAGGCTTGTCCCACATTGATTTGGTGGGAAATTTTGAATGAGTTTATAAGGCATGAGATTGGAATTTAGGGTGTGCCCCAAGGGGTACAGTGTTTTAGAGAGGGGGGTTCTGGGCAAAATGGGCTAGACCCATTGGTTATAAGGCTTAGGGTGAGATACTTGGGGTGTGCCCCAAGGGGTACCCAAGTGTTTTAGAGGGAGAGGTTATGGGCTAGACCCATTGGACCCAAAAATCACCACACGCGCACCGCCGATCGGTTGGGCTTCTAATCTTTTTGGGCCAAAAACATTTGAATTTAATTTTATTTTTTATTAAAATAAAATCCAGAATTCAAATTAAATTGGTTTTGATTTTTTGTTCATCCAAACAGGGCCCTTCCCGTTTTCAAACAGAATTTAATCTTTTTTAATACAGTGAAGATTGTCCTACAATCTTAAGACAGATTCCTTTTTGGTATCTTCATTATATTAATTTTCTGTGTTTGGAAAAACAAATAGTGATTTATGCTATTTGACAGATAGTATTTCTTTGACAACTAGTAGTAATATACTGCTGCTATTAACAATTGCAGAATATTATTTGGTATTACAGAAAATTATTTTGGTATTTTATTTTTCTAGTTTTAGTAACAAGGAAAATAAAATTATATTATTTTCTAGTTTTAGTAACAAAGAAAATAAAATTTATTTTGTGTTTGTTCTGATTTTTGTAATAAGATAGTATTGTGGTATTTTATTTTCTAGTTTCAGTAACAAGGAAAATAAAATTACAGTATTTTCTAGTTTTAGTGACAAGAAAAATAAAATGATTTTGTGTTATAATTTATTTTCTGGTTTAAGTAACTAGAAAATTAATTTGTGGTTTGGTTTTCTGATTTTTGTAATCAGATAAGTTTTGTGGTATTTTATTTTCTAGTTTCAGTAACAAGGAAAATAAAATTACAGTATTTTCTAGTTTTAGTAACAAGAAAAATAAAATGATTTTGTGTTATAATTTATTTTCTGGTTTAAGCAACTAGAAAATTAATTTGTGGTTTGGTTTTCTGATTTTTGTAATCAGATAAGTTTTGTGGTATTTTATTTTCTAGTTTCAGTAACAAGGAAAATAAAATTACAGTATTTTCTAGTTTTAGTAACAAGAAAAATAAAATGATTTTGTGTTATAATTTATTTTCTGGTTTAAGCAACTAGAAAATTAATTTGTGGTTTGGTTTTCTGATTTTTGTAATCAGATAAGTTTTGTGGTATTTTATTTTCTAGTTTCAGTAACAAGGAAAATAAAATTACAGTATTTTCTAGTTTTAGTAACAAGAAAAATAAAATGATTTTGTGTTATAATTTATTTTCTGGTTTAAGTAACTAGAAAATTAAGTTGCTACTTTGTATACATGAATGTATATAAATACATGTATGTGTACATATAAAGAGGCAGAGAGAGATGAGATAAATGTTGACACTCCATAACCTCATTGTTGAGATGGATGGCTTTTTCCTTTTTCTGATTTGATAATTGATCTAACCATTTGACCTCTATAGCCAACTCTATAGATAGATTGATCTTTAACAATTTTTTCCCTAATTTTCTTTACTTTTTTTTCTTTAAATGAAGTTTGATCTAGCAATTTTTCATTTTGTTATAGTCAAGTGATCTATAAATGGGACAAGAGTGAAATTTGTGAGGTGGGTGGGCGAGGTTAGGGAAATAGGGGAATTGGGGGGCAAGGAAATCTCCATAGTCTGCTTGAGATTGGGAAAGGACCCCTTTCCTCTACTCAACCAGTTCCTATCCACAGATATATGTCATTTTGAATAAATTCTTTAAAGATATTTGCTAACATTCATTTTGATTACCCTCTGTTTATTTTAACCTATTTTGTGACCAATAATATAGGAGTTTCCTCCTACTAAGGTTTCATATAATGCTAATGCTCGCAAACTTTGCACAAACAAAATGTTCCATCAATACAAATTATATAATGGTAAATGCTAAACAACTAGAGACATAGGAATTATTGAAAAAAATTGATAATATAAATACTTTATTGAAAAAACATCAAGATGATATAAAGAATACAAAGCAGCCCAAAAGAGGGAAGAAACTAATAACTCTTAACCAATAAAATCATCCAAAAAGTCTAAGAAAACAAACAAGGGGGGGGGGGGGGGGGGTTTGGGGGTTTCATGGGGAGAAAGAAGAGCAAGATCAAGAACAAGTTGATTGAGAAGGATTTTTACTTCAGTGTGCAAACAGAGAGGAATCTGACCATAGGAGGACAATACGAAATGGAACTTCATGGATGATCCACAACCCTTGCAGAGGAGTTTTGGGTGCGAAAGGTATGTAGTGTAGCATTCTAAAATGTAAATACCTGTGTTTTTCTCCCATGTTTCTCTCTCTTTTTTTGGATTACTTCACCTGAAATGTTTGTTTGTTTAACCTTAATTTTTTAGATTCTTAGTATCAAAACTCAAATTTTGGCCCACAAATCAAGACTTGGTCTTATCAACAGCAGCAGTTCCAATTTGTGCTCTTCAACTGCGAAAACTCGTAAAGAGGACAGAAAGGTTTGATATTTTTTATAAAATTCCTTTTAAGTTTTCATATGGTTTATGGAAGTAGCAATGCTGACTTACTGAATACTTTATTGGATGTAAAGGTTTATGTTCGGGAACCAGCAGTCCCATTTGTTTCAATGGCAGAAATGATGAAGAAGTTTCAATCTAACACAAGAGAGATGTCTATACCTCACATGAACGGTTCTCTTTCGCATGTAAATGACTAAACCTACTTTCTTTTCTTACCATAAAAAAATTGTTTCGCTCCTGATTATTATAATTTGTATTGCTTATTTTCCTTATCTTCCATTTCAACTTTCAGGATGCTGCAGCTTCAATAGTGCAGAGGAAGCCCAGACTTACATTGACAAGGCCCAAGGAACCTGAATTTGAAACGGCTCAGCGGGTTCGCTCAGTCAGGGCCAAGAGCTCTGCTGAACTTGAGGAAGAAATGATGGCTAAAATTCCGAAGTTTAAGGCTAGGCCAGTAAACAAGAAGGTAGTCATTTTTTAACTTTGCTATTTAGGAATCTCCGTTATCGCTTTGTTAACATCTGGTCTATATGTTGGATTGAATTGGCTCTTTTGTTCATTACAGATTCTGGACGCTCCAAGCTTGCCAGCACTACCAAGAAGTACACCCCATCTACCCGAATTTCAGGTAAAGTATACAATGGATTGATGTTGATGAGAACAAGAAATGCAATAAAACTACAAAGGCTAAAGTTATAATCTTCTACAGGAATTCCATTTGGAAACGATGGAAAGGGCCAATCAAAATGCAGAAACATCAACTATAGCCTCAACAGAATCTGCTTGGCAGGTATATAAAGCCTCATCCCGGGTATTTTAGATCTTTTCCTTGTTAATATAAAATTGGATTCTGTTTAGTTAGTGACCAAAAATTTGCAAATTTGTATATGACAGAATCATCAGTGGAAACCAGCTCATCTTACAGCACCCAAGTCGCCCCTTCTTCAAACATCTCTGAGGGCACGGCCTCCAAGGATTAAAACTTCTGAAGAACTGGAAAGGGAAGAACTTGAAAAAGTTCCAAAGTTCAAAGCAAGGCCTTTGAATAAGAAGGTATATACGTCCGCTTTTTAATGAGAAAATTATATCAATTTGTTTTGTACTACTTTCATTTCTTCATTTGAATTGATTTAAGTTTTTCGAATCTTGTAGATATTTGAAAGTAAAGGAGAGTTGGGGATGTTTTGTAACACAAAGCAGCATGTCACTATTCCTCAGGAGTTTCACTTTGCTATTGATGAAAGGATTCCACCACCAGTAACAGTTGCTGATCTTTTTGACAAGGTTATTAAATAAGCGTATTGTTGATTCCAATTCCAGTTAGAGGTATAAAACGTCCCCATTGACAGTTTCTCATAATGTTTATTATTTATATTTTTTTCCAGCTTTCATTGAATTCAGAAGCTCACCACTACAAACAAATTCTGAGGAACACTACACCAAATCCATTCCATCTCCACACAGAGGTATGAAAATCCACGACGCTGGTTGATAAATCTGCCAATTGGTTATGTTTTATACTAAATCTGCTTTGTGGTTGATTTGTGACATTAGGAAAGAGGAGCAGAGAAAGAGAGGAAATTTGTGATGGAAGTCATGCAGAAACAGTTGGAAGATGAGAGAGCCAGGATTCCGAAGGCTACCCCATATCCTTATACTACTGATTATCCTGTGGTACAGAATTTTAGGGGAACCCACTCTCTATTTCTAAGTGCTTGAATTTTTACAATGGTACACTAATTTTGACTACTACTTG